CGGATGATGAAGAAGCCAGCATTAGTAACATTGCGGGCACCAGCAAAATCACCAGGAGCGGGAGAATATTTTCTCCAGAGATTGCCCCTCCAAGAGCAGTCTTTGGACCCTCATCAGCTAACAAGGTCGTCCCTGTACCAATAAAACTTTCTGCTATAACTCCTCTGATTGAAGACGTTGTTGGTCCTAGTACTATCTCTCCTTCCGCTGCTGACAAAGGTAAGGGAATCCAAGATGAGCCCGTCAGGACGAGGGCTCAACCCTTGGTAATCCCGGAAACCTCCAAAAAGGAAATGGACGAGATTTTGAGGATAATCAGGAGAAGTGTATTTAGATGCAAATGACTTATGAGAAGTTATTGAGGGGGACTACAAAGTTATTCCTTTGTCAAACAATCCAATTATGGATCAGATGAAAAATCACAAGGAAAGGAAAACAAGAAAGTCAAAAGACAAGAGCTTCTTTGTTTGTTTTCGTTTCAGAAGAAATCTTCACCAGAATCATGACCATCAAATCAGCATTTGAAATGTGGAATTTCCTCAAAAGCGAATATGAAGGAGACGAAAGGATTATGGGAATGCAAGCGTTGAATTTGATTAGAGGCAAAAGATGAAGGAGTTTGAAACAATTAAAGAGTATGCAAATAAACTTATTAGCATTACTAACAAGGTAAGATTGCTTGCTTCTAAATTGTCCGATTCAAGAATAGTAATGAAAATACTTTGATTGAACCTGAAAGATTTGAAGCAACTATTACTTCCTTGAAAAATACCAATAACATGTCAAAGCTTACCTTAGTAGATCTTGTAAATGGTATGCATGCCCAAGAACAAAGAAGAATTATAAGGTCCGAAGATTCAATGGAAGGAGCGTTGCAAGCTAAATTAAAAATCAACAAAGGATCAAAGAGCATGGAAAATAAGTATAAGAAGAGTTTCAACAAATAAGAAGCAGCGGCAAGCACTAGCTACAAAAATGAAAGGAAAAAAAGAGAGAAATTCCTCCTTCCTCCTTGAAAGCATTGTGGAAAATTGGGTCATCCTTCTTTCAAATGTTAGAGAAAACCTTATGTGAGGTTTGACAAGTGAAACAAGCTAGGCATCACGAGAGAATCTGCATGCACAATTTTCAATGAAATAATGAGGCTCAAGTTGCAAATCAACCGGAGGAGGAAGAAGAAAAAGAGTTATTTGTAGTAACATGATTTATAAGTTGTAGCTCAAGTGAATGTTGGCTACTTAATAGTGGTTGTACCAATCACGTGATTCATGATAAAGAACTATTCAGAGAGCTGGATAGATCACAAATATCAAAAGTCAAAATCTATAATGGTAAACTTATTATTGTCAAAGGAAAAGGCATTACGGCCATTGAAAATTGCACTGGTACAAAGCTAATTTCTGATGTTTTATATGTACCCGAGATTGATCAAAACTTGTTAAGTATGGGTCAATTACTTGATAAAGGATTTAAAGTCATCTTTGAAAATAAGCGATGTTTGATCAAAGATGTCAATGATAAGGTAGTTTTCACCATTAAAATGAGAAGCAAAATTTTTTCATTTGATCCAGTGAATAAAGAGTAAATAGTTTATCCAATTATCGTTAACAGTACAGAGATATGAAACAAATAATTAGGTCATTTTCATCATGTAGCGGTACTAAATATGCAAAGAAAATATTTGGCTCAAGGCTTGCCTCACTTAGATATTGAATTACCAAGCTGCAAGGTATGTCAGTATGATAAGAAAGCAACTTGGAGAGCAACAGAGAAGCTGCAACTGATTCAGAGTAATGTGTTAATTAATCCAAAAAACAATCACAGTACAACAATTATTCTCAAAATATGGAAAATATATACAAAATACATTCAAATGCATAATCTATTAAGTATGCCTAATCCTAACACCATGGCTCCTCCTCTTCCTACGGTAACCCAAGATATTATGTGCCTCGGTAAGAATGGAATGTGCTAGGGAAACCGCTTCATCGCCACCTTTCTCAAATAAACCATACTCGGCGTCCTCTCCTGGCATCCGCATAGTATTTTGACAGATCGACAATACATCAATAGAATAATCATCTCTGGCCTACTCATTCTCCAAGATCTTCTCATGAGCAGGCCAAGGTGGACGTCTAAGAGCGGCTGGTGTCATGTAAGAGTGTGACACATAATAGAACCAAGTCATGTAATCATCCATATAAGACCACTCAGATGTGGATTTCTGACTCCGATACTCCTCTGATATCAGACGAATCTTAAAATCTACCAAAATATCACCCAGTTGTATGCGGACAATGCCCTTAAAAACATCTGAGAAGGGGGACCTCAGAATGATCTGCATGTACTCAAACAGTTGCATGCACCGCTATGGCAGATACATGCACATTATATTTGTTCCACATGTCAGCCGTCCGGAGTATAATGAAATGTGGTCGAATTAAATTCATTCTCGGTGGATAGTGTACGACATCTAGACGACGTCATCATGCTGAGTCTGATCAATATACACACAGAACGGCACTACAACATAATTTCCTCTGCTCATGAGATACCGCAAGCACTTGGGTAATCCTCAGTATATGATGGATCATACCCAAACCCATGTATACGGTGATAGTGGGCAAGGATCCATTACAGAAAATGAATAAGCAGAAGAAAAAAATCATTAGTAAGAAGTGTAAAAAAAATTGTTTTAAAATTAATAATGGGATTTGGAAATTACCGTAAGCAGGGTGCATGAGTCTGTTTGTCTTCCAATGAGAACCTTCGCGCAGCTTGGAGTACAGGTATACCAAGCATGCGACCTCCCACATCCACTCGTGAATGATTGTCAAGTCGATGAATATTTGAGGTATGTCACATCCACGTAGGTTGCACTTTTGTACACAAACAGGGATGTGTCAACCAAGAATATGAAGTAACACCTCAATGCATACTCTATGTGGTAGGCAACCTAAAGATGATCATCGTAGGTGGCCAACTCCAAGTTGTTGCTATACAACTCCTATAACTAAGAAAACTTGGCATGTGCACCCCTGGTGTTGTTACACTGCTTCATGGCTTCGTAAGGGTCAGCTACCAAATAAACCATCATCATCTCCACTGTGTCAACCCTGGTGATCTTAGAATGATCAAGCAATCTTCCTCTGATGGAAAGGTATAGGAGGCAAACGACATCATCTAATGTAATCGTGATCTCGCAAATGAGGAGGTGGAAACATGATGTTTCACTATGTCATCTCTCATCCAATGTCGCATGCATGCCATAACTTATGATGTTGTACTCGGAAGCACGAAGACCTGCAAGACCGGAGTGTTAGAGCACACTAAAGAACCACTCTTCCTGGTGTTGATCAAGCCTTTAAATCTTTATGGAATGGTTAATTGATTTCAAACACTCTGTCATTTCCCTAATCATCCAAAACTCATCTAAATCACCCTAACTCATCTAAATCACCCAAATGATAATATCTAATGCATTAAAAGTAACATATTTGACCTAATACATCAATCAAAACTCAAAATAAACTAAATGAGAAACTTACTCAAAAATGTGTTGTTAAGGTGTAAAGTGTTGAATGCAGTGGTTAGAGGGAGTTGGGAATGACAATATACAAGCGGAGGATATGAAGTTGCTTTAAAAGTTGAGTTAAACTATTGTGCTCACGAGCTTAAAAAGGGCAAAGTTTTCTGAATTAAAATTGAAGGAGAAGAGGGAGAGTTTGACGCGTGTTTAAATACGTTTACCTACTTCAAAGATGCATATCTCTATTATTATTTTGAATTTAAAAAAAAATTAATTCGGATATTTACCTGCGAATAGGTTTTAGGATATGTTCGCAGATACATCTTCAAATAAACCTAAAGAATTGGTGCGTTCGAAAATATATATCTCCAAAAAATGAGACATTTTAAAAATTCCGCACACTGATGCAATAAAAAATTCTCAAAATATATGCCTCTTGTGGAAGCTGAAGTCCATAATATACTTGATATAGAATGGACGAGGGACGGATGATTTTGTTTTTAGGGTGATTTTGTAATTTTAGTGTATTTAAGAGATGAAAAAAATAATTAAAATAAATTGTTTGTTGAAAGAATAATCGATTTTGAAAAATATAAAGGAAAAGTTACAAAGTCATTAAAATCCAGTCAATAAAGACAAATTCATTCTGAATTTCCTCATTGGATACTTTAAAGAAAAAAAACAAAAACTAATCACAAAATAAGAAGAAAAACTTTAACATCTAATCACAAAATGTAACGGACAAAATTATTCAATTTTATATACAATATAGCATGATTATTAAATACAATGCATATTATTCTTTTAAAATTTAGGTTAATATTACAATTAACATGCAAATAAATAAATTAATATTTTGTTAACTTGTGTCTTTAAAAACATAAATTTAAAATTTAAAAGTAAAATGTTAATAATTTAATATACTTCATTTTTTTAATAATTGATTGAATAATTTTTAATTGAATATTTTCTATTTGATTTCTTAACATGTACCACAAGTTAGCAATAGACATAAATATTTAGTGCGGCTTTTATTGTTGATAATGTTCTGAAAAAAATGAACTTTTTATAAATCTATAAAAAATTGCTTCAACTTTTCATAGCTACTCAGCTTTTTTTATGCCTATAAATTATAACCCGCTTTTAACCGATAAATATATATATGTTTAGAGTCTAAGAGTTATTTATCATTTCGTCAATAAACAAAAAAAAAAGTGAAATTGCAAAGAATGATCGAGAACACTGATATAGAAATGCCTAATATTTGCACCCAAAAGAATGAACACCTATGCAAGTAATTCCTAAAACCACTGCAATAGCCAACATATGCATAATTACAATATCTTTTGAAACCTCATTTGAGACTTAGATCAGCAAGTCATAAAACTAGTCATTCATATAAGTGAAACATAAACATTGTTAAATACAGATATATTCATATACCAAATATCAAAAAGGCATGTAAACAAACTTATAAGGACTCTACAAATTGAGGGGCTTCCAAGTCAAGCTCTTGTCTCATGACACAGTTCATAAACCACTCACTATTGAAGGTTCTTATACCTTTCTTTGAAGCCAGCATTGCTTCTTTTATATCTTCTTCACATGTCACAAAGATCGTTGTTGATACTTCATTTACTTTTTCAAGTCCACTAATAACCTAATACAAGAAATAGTGAAATTTGTTAACAGCAAGGTTCAGTTCCTCAAAAGGAAAAGAAAGCAGAATGTTCATAGAAGTGTTACAGTGATGTGAATAACATATATATCTTGAAATTAAGCACTCTTAAAAGCAATTAATCACTTGTATTACAATACTTTGACCAAAAAATCAGAGATAGTTATGATAGTTATAATACAAAAATTGATAATTTTTTGACAAATAATGAAGAACAAAAAATTGAAAATGTTAATCTCTGTCATTCTTTTTAAAAGGGGCGTTTTAAGTTTAAATTCCAGTAAAACAATGGAACTTACATTACCACCAGCAGAGCTAACAATAGCAGACAGAGTTTCTGCAGGAGTTTGAACATTAGCTGCAATACAAATATTGTACCCCTTAAATAAAGCATGGGGACGAGCTTTTGCTCGGAATACTGCACTTCTTAAATCCAATCTGTACTTCAACAAATAATCCTCATCATTCAGTATGTGAGGAGATTCATCTGTGTATTCATTTTTAAGATTGTGTAAGCTATCCTGAATAATAACTCAATCAATTATACAACAAGATAGTTAAATCCATCTTACCAACAAATCTGCCTGCACGAAAACTTTCTTTTAACCAACTTGATGAGACCACCCAAGCACTGTGATAGGGCATATATTAGTGAATAATAAGAACAACTTCAAAATAACGAAAATATAAAACATTATCAGTATGTTTGGTTTTGATTATATTTTTAAGCATGATTATTTTTGTTTGAGTAAAATTTGAGATTATATTTATTTGAATGAGAATCCTTCCTAGTTAATTTCCATATAAAGGCTAGAAGTTGATATTTAATAGAGTAGTTTACTAATATGCCCTTCATTTTATCTTTCTATTCTGTTTTGCTGAGCTGTCAGGTTTGTTAGTGGTGTGCTGTTAGCTTGTTATGGCCTCACACCTTTTCTGCTTTGAATCACATGGCTATATAAAGAAGCCTCTTGTATTACTGTTTAAGATGAGACAATGAGAGTTTCTTTTAATTCTCTCTCTTTACCTATTTCTATCATGGTATACAGAGCATAATTTTTTTCCGATCCATGGAACCTTTATTCCCTTCCTCTCAGGTGAAACTTTCTCACCTAATTTCTGTTAAGCTTGACGACAAGAATTTCAAACAGTGGAAGCAGCAGATTGATGGCGTCGTCCGTGGTCATCGTCTTCAACGCTTTGTCACTGTTCCGGTGATTCCGCCACCGTCTCCCTCAGATCCTGCATCTCACAGTGCGTTTCTTGAGTGGGAACAGCAGGATGCTCTCATTTGCACCTGGCTTCTCTCTACCATCTCCGATGCTCTCCTTCCTAAGCTCGTTGACTGCAAGCATGCGTGGCAGGTGTGGACAGAAGTTCATCGGTACTTTGATGTTCTTCTCTCCACCAAGGCTCGTCAACTTCGTTCAGAACTCCGGCGTCTTACGAAGGGTTCACTAACGATTACTGAGCTTATGACGCGTTCACGTGACATCAGTGAGTCGCTAACCTCCATCGGTGATCCCGTTCCTCTTCGTAACCTAATTGAGATTGTTCTTGATTCGTTACCTGAGGATTATGATTCTATTGTCGCCGCCGTTAACAGCAAAGATGACGTTAGCTCCTTGGAAGAGTTGGAGTCTTCCTTGCTTGCTCATGAGTCGCGATTGGAGAAGCATCGCAAAGCTGCGATTACAGAACCGGCGACGGCGACGATCAATCTCACTCAAGCAACACCTTCTCCCACTCCAGTCGCTTCTGATCAAGTCATCTCCGAGGCGTTTCCTCAAGGAACGAGTCACGTCACCGCTAATGCTGAAAATCATTCCTATGGTGCACGTGGTGGTCGTTCTGGTCGCGGTGGTGGTCGTTTTGGTCGTGGAGGAGGTCGTTTTGGGAAATCACCGTGTCAGATTTGTCACAAACCTGGTCATGATGCTTCAGTATGCTACTATCGTTATGCCAATTCAAGTGGTGCTAGTTATCCACATCATCGAGCTCCCTTCAATCCTTTTCACGTGGCTCCTCGTGCTGTTTATCCTGTGCAGCTTGCTTATGCTTCTCCCAGAGCTGCGCCTCCCAGATCTTCTGCACCACAAGCCTTTTATGCAGGTACTGAAGCTAACAGTGCAAACCAGTGGTGGTATCCTGACTCAGGAGCTTCTCATCATGTTACTCCTGATGCCTCTAATGTGTCTGACTCTGCCTCCGTGCCTGGAACTGAACAAGTTTTCATAGGTAACGGCCAAGGTTTGTCCATCAACTCTGTAGGTTCTATGTCTTTTCCCTTACCTCACAAACCTCATCTATCTCTCACTCTTAACAATCTCTTACATGTCCCTCACATCACCAAAAACCTTATGAGTGTGAGCAAATTTGCTCAAGATAATTCTGTATTTTTTGAATTTCATCCTAAGTTTTGTGTTGTCAAATCTCAGGCTACTTCTGAAGTCTTACTCAGTGGTCTTGTTGGTGCTGATGGCCTCTATAAATTCTCCAATCCAGCTGCTCCTCCGTTGTCCAAATCTTCTTCCTCTTATAGTTCTAGTCATAGTTATCCTGCAGCATACAATTGTAATACTTCCTATAGGACGGATGTTATAGATTCTATATCTCAGTGTACTGAATCTGTTGCAAATCATACTATAAATCCTTTGTCTTCTTGTAATGAATCTTGCAATTATAATGTTACAAGTACCTTTTTCAATTCTTCTCTAAACTCTGTCAGTACTGTTTTACCTTCCTCACACTTTAATGCTGCAAATTCTATTGCATCCAATAAATATGTGCTTTGGCATACTAGGCTGGGACACCCCAATCATCATACCCTCACTGATATCTTCAAACTGTGTAATCAATCCTTTCCATCTAAACCCCCTGCTGAGTTATGTCACGCTTGCTGCATTGGCAAGTCTCATAGACTTCCTTCTTCTTTATCTACCACAGTTTACTCTCATCCCTTTGAGCTGGTTGTATGTGATCTTTGGGGTCCTGCCCCTATGCAATCTTCCAGTGGTTATACCTATTTCCTAACCTGTATTGATGCCTTCTCTAGGTTTGTTTGGGTTTTTCCTCTCAAACTTAAGTCTGACACCATGGTTCAATTTCTTCAGTTTAAGAAAATGGTTGAACTTCAGTTCAATTGTCCCATTAAATGTGTCCAAACTGATGGGGGAGGTGAGTTTAGGCCTCTTACCAAATATCTCACAGATTTAGGGATTGTTCACAGATTCACTTGTCCCCATACACATCACCAAAATGGCCTTGTTGAACGTAAGCACAGGCACATTGTTGAGACTGGTCTCACACTCCTTGCTCAGTCCACCCTTCCCTTAAAATTCTGGGATCATGCCTTTGTCACAGCTGCATATCTCATTAACAGACTTCCTACACCTATACTTGACAATGTCTCACCTTATTTTAAATTACTTCACAAAAACCCTGACTATACTATCCTTAAAGTCTTTGGCTGTGCATGTTATCCTTTTCTCCGTCCCTATAATTCTCATAAACTTGATTTTAGATCTCAACTGTGTATTTTCCTTGGATACTCTACCTCTCACAAAGGCTATAAATGCCTTGCTTCAGATGGTCGCATTTTTATTTCCAAGGATGTTGTTTTTAATGAAGCAAATTTTCCTTATTCCACCTTGGTTTCTTCTTCAAAATCTGTCTCTCTTCCTAACACTCCATCCTCTTCCTCTCCCTCTCTCAGTTTTCCTCCTGTTTCCTCTGCTCCCTCTACTTCTAATCTGTCTTCTATGCCTTCTTCTTCCTCAAATTCTGCTTTTCCTCAACTTAGCAGTCCCACTATTTCTAATTTTTCTCCAATCTCTTCTTCCTCTTCCTCTGCTGCTCCCTCTAACAACTCTTATTCTTCTGGTCAGCAACCTATCCCTCAACCTCTCACTGCCATTCCCATTACCTCTTCTCCTTCTTCCTCTCCTGCCCTCATTCTCTCTGATCCAGCTGAAGCTAGCACTCTTTCTCCCTCCTCTTCATATTCCTCTCGTTTAGTTGGTCCCTCCCCTGGCCCTAGTCCTATTTCCCACCCTGCTGCCACAGCTTTACCTTCCATTCACCCTCAAAACATCCACCCTATGCAAACTAGAGCCAAAAGAGGAATCACTCTTCCTAGACTTCACCCTACTCTATTAATAGCCCACCTTGAACCTACATCTGTTGAGCAAGCCTTGGCTGCTCCTAACTGGTTTCAGGCCATGAAGGAAGAACATCAGGCACTGCTGAGAAATCAGACCTGGACTTTGGTGAAAGCTCCTGCTGGAAGGAAGCCTATTGGATGTAAGTGGGTGTTCAGGACTAAGGAGAATCCTGATGGTTCCATAAACAGGTATAAAGCCAGATTAGTGGCTAAAGGGTTCCATCAAAAGGCTGGTGATGATTTTCAAGAGACTTTTTCTCCTGTCATTAAACCTGTTACTGTGAGAATTGTTCTTTCTATTGCTGTTACAAACAGGTGGCCATTGCAGCAGATTGATGTTAACAATGCCTTCCTCAATGGCACTCTTGAAGAAGAAGTCCTTATGCAACAGCCCCCTGGCTTTGAAGTTGCTGACAGAACTCTTGTTTGCAAGTTAAATAAGGCTATTTATGGTTTAAAACAGGCTCCTAGGGCCTGGTTTGATAAGCTAAAGTGTGCCTTGGTTCAACTCGGGTTTAAGGCTAGTAGATGTGATCCTAGCTTGTTTTTGTTGCATCAAGGTAAACTTCAGATTCTAATTCTGGTCTATGTTGATGATATAATCATCACGGGTAGTTCTGCTCCTTTTATAGCTTCCTTGATCAAGCATCTCAATAATTCTTTCTCTCTCAAACAGCTGGGACAACTTGATTATTTCCTAGGGATTCAAGTGACTCATCTCCCTAATGGTTCTCTTCTCTTATCTCAGACTAAGTACATCACAGATTTGCTTTCAAGGCTTAATATGTTGAATGCCAATGGCATGCCTACTCCCATGGTCTCTAGCAGCAAATTGTCCAAGGTTGGGTCTGCTGCGGTTGATGACCCTACTCAGTTTCGGTCTGTGGTTGGTGCCCTTCAATATGCTACCTTAACTAGGCCAGAGATCTCTTTTTCAGTCAACAAAGTCTGTCAGTTTTTGTCCAATCCTTTAGAGGATCATTGGAAGGCTGTTAAAAGAATCTTAAGGTACCTAAGTGGTACTCTGCACCATGGTCTTCTCCTTCAGCCTGCTCCTATTCAGCAACCAATGCAGTTGCTAGGGTTCTGTGATGCAGACTGGGCATCAGACCCTGATGACCGGAGATCTACTTCAGGGGCCTGCATATATCTTGGGCCTAATGTTGTTTCCTGGTGGTCCAAGAAGCAACAGCTTGTTGCAAGGTCCAGTGCTGAAGCGGAATATCGCAGTATGGCTCAGCTAGCTGCTGAACTCATTTGGATTCAGTCCTTGCTCAAGGAACTCCATTATTCCTCTCAAGTTCCTAAGATCTTGTGTGATAACTTGAGCACTGTTACTTTGGCTCACAATCCTATTCTTCACAACAGGACTAAGCATATGGAGCTTGATATTTTCTTTCTGCGAGAGAAAGTACTCAGCAAAAGTCTGACTGTTGTTCATGTACCAGCTCAAGATCAATGGGCTGACATTCTCACTAAGCCCCTCTCTGCTGCCAAGTTTGTTCCTCTTCGTTCCAAGTTGCGTGTGTATGATAAGGCTGCTTTGACAAGTCTGCCATCAGCTTCTAAGGGGGACTAATAGAGTAGTTTACTAATATGCCCTTCATTTTATCTTTCTATTCTGTTTTGCTGAGCTGTCAGGTTTGTTAGTGGTGTGCTGTTAGCTTGTTATGGCCTCACACCTTTTCTGCTTTGAATCACATGGCTATATAAAGAAGCCTCTTGTATTACTGTTTAAGATGAGACAATGAGAGTTTCTTTTAATTCTCTCTCTTTACCTATTTCTATCAATATTCAACAATAACACAAGCATGATACTAGAATATTTTAAAAATGCATAAAGACTACGTAGTTGCATTGTGCTCTGATATGCTTCCCCGCTGAAAGGATCACTAACCATTCAAAGGATGCTCTGCATTTCACTGAGTTGGTGTGGCATTTCATATGAAATGATTTCATGGTTAGTAGAAAATGAACAGGAGATACCACCCCAGAAAAGGGATTCATTTGAAAGCAGCCATTAATCATTAGAAAAAAGATTAAGCTTTATGGAAGTATCCCTCTTCCTACTTCATTGTCATGCACCCTAGCTCAACATAAAGTTATAAATGGTCTTCACCAGTTACGTATTCCATCTGTTAGCACATGCACTGCACCATCACCCCATCTCTCAAGTAGCTGGACACTCCAAAGAATACAACTAGCCCATGGTTTTCATTTAATGACAAACACTCCAAGTTACAACCTCCAATGGTGATACTTATTTTTTACTTATTTAACTTGGTTAAAAGGAATAATGAACACCAAATGTGATAAACTGGTAGATGACATCAATCCTGTTGAATTACACGGTAAGACTAGTACTATACCTCCACTAATCATGTTCTATGTAACCTGCAACACTAAAGAATATCCTCAATTCTAAGTATGAACTACTTCTTTGGGCACACTCCAACGGTAAATTTGAAATACAAAAACTTGTATAATATTAAACTGGTATCTGGTATAATATTTTCCCAACTTCAAATGAATTCTCAACTGACCAAAATTGATCTGCTTAAATATCAAGAGTTTGACAGATTGAATACAACTGAAATTTGGAGGAAAACGGATAGTTCAAAAATATGAAGGTTAGCAATAAATAATGACTCTGGCAAAGAAGACAAGATTTCTATTAGCTGCAAATTTTTAGATGATTAAAACTTGATTTTGGCTACAAATAAAATTTCACTTTAAAATTTGGCTTGCTGACATTTTGGAAGTTTTGAACCTACCCTGAACATAGAGCGGTACAGAAATTCAGAGTTTTTCTCACTTTTCCTGTGACAACATGTGTGGTTGAGCTTCCATCAGCGGCAACAGTTCCACCAAGGTCTTCAATCACCTATATGTAACACAAATGTCTAAGAAATTTAAAACCCATAATTAAATTAATTGCCAGGATCTGTGAAAAAGAAAAACTATACAACAACAAAACTACACCCCTATTATTTTTCCCTACCATTTGTAATAAAACCAAACCGTATAAACAAAGAATGCTACATTCAAAAAGTAGAGACTGGATCTATAAATAAAGAGTTACAATTAAAAAAAATGTTACTCATCAGTTTACTAAAGCATTTATAAAATACTTGGGTAATTAAACAAACCTTTGCAAGCTGTGTTTTCTTAGCTTCATCATTGATATTCATCAACATGATTCTAAAGCATTGTTTAGTTGATGGCGGCTTTAGGTTGATTGGAGCTTTGAAATGTATATGGTCTCCAATACATTTTTCAGACTTCTTTGTAATTAAAGTATCACCATGAGAAACTTCCACATAACAAGGATTTGCCCTGTCAGCCTCAGAGACAAAACCCCAGCTAGAATCTGATTGACAGTCAACTAACTGGCTTCCCTTCACTTTCTTTGACTTCAAAGAGGATAAAGAGGCTTCCCATGCCCTCTTCTTAACTTTTGTAGATTGAGAACAATTTGTTGTGTTAGAAGGAACAGTGTCATTGCAGCAGCTCTTAGAATTGTGGCCTTCAAAGTCCATTGTGCAAGAGATCACAACTCACAATAAATAAAATAACAAATAGTTTTTATAAAGTATTTTATTTAACTTTTCCTAATTCCAGAAAAAAATTTAAAATTTTGAAAATAATCTTAATTGGGAGTATGGGAGAAGACAGATTGACATAATAGTATATTACCACTGAGTTTTCCATGTCCCCGTGAAGATCTGTCTTTTGCCAAAGCCTTAGGTTTACTTTGAGCGGTGTCTCTTCTAAGGGAAGATATAAAATCAATGAGTAGCTCATCTGAAACTTCACACTGCTCATTTTCAATAATTGCAGGTGGAGATGAGTTCTGATGAGGCTGTGAGAGGAGACGCTTCCCAGAGTTAGCTTCGTCACCTAGCAATTCCTTCTTTAAGTGGCAAACCATCAGTGTTGAACCACCGGGTAAGCATAATGTTCTGCGAATATCAGCTTTTATAGGTAACCTGCGGGCTCTACCTCTGGTATCCACCTCTGCTATTGATGAAAAACCCTACATTTGTGGGGGAAAAGTTGTAGCATCAGAACAAAAGAAGCTTCTTTTACTAAATAAAAATCATGCTTCTAAATTTTGCAAACTAATATCATTGAATATTTATCTTATTATATTAACTGCCTCTTTGCATAAATGTAAAGTTTTTCTTGGAAGGGTGTTCACGAATCTGTAGAATACTCTAAACTCGAAAATGAATGACAACCACGTAAATAATAAACAACCACAATCAAAGCTATGTATTAGGAATTATTGCTTGTAGTAGAGATCCAGTTTAATAGAGTAGTTTACTAATATGCCCTTCATTTTATCTTTCTATTCTGTTTTGCTGAGCTGTCAGGTTTGTTAGTGGTGTGCTGTTAGCTTGTTATGGCCTCACACCTTTTCTGCTTTGAATCACATGGCTATATAAAGAAGCCTCTTGTATTACTGTTTAAGATGAGACAATGAGAGTTTCTTTTAATTCTCTCTCTTTACCTATTTCTATCATGGTATACAGAGCATAATTTTTTTCCGATCCATGGAACCTTTATTCCCTTCCTCTCAGGTGAAACTTTCTCACCTAATTTCTGTTAAGCTTGACGACAAGAATTTCAAACAGTGGAAGCAGCAGATTGATGGCGTCGTCCGTGGTCATCGTCTTCAACGCTTTGTCACTGTTCCGGTGATTCCGCCACCGTCTCCCTCAGATCCTGCATCTCACAGTGCGTTTCTTGAGTGGGAACAGCAGGATGCTCTCATTTGCACCTGGCTTCTCTCTACCATCTCCGATGCTCTCCTTCCTAAGCTCGTTGACTGCAAGCATGCGTGGCAGGTGTGGACAGAAGTTCATCGGTACTTTGATGTTCTTCTCTCCACCAAGGCTCGTCAACTTCGTTCAGAACTCCGGCGTCTTACGAAGGGTTCACTAACGATTACTGAGCTTATGACGCGTTCACGTGACATCAGTGAGTCGCTAACCTCCATCGGTGATCCCGTTCCTCTTCGTAACCTAATTGAGATTGTTCTTGATTCGTTACCTGAGGATTATGATTCTATTGTCGCCGCCGTTAACAGCAAAGATGACGTTAGCTCCTTGGAAGAGTTGGAGTCTTCCTTGCTTGCTCATGAGTCGCGATTGGAGAAGCATCGCAAAGCTGCGATTACAGAACCGGCGACGGCGACGATCAATCTCACTCAAGCAACACCTTCTCCCACTCCAGTCGCTTCTGATCAAGTCATCTCCGAGGCGTTTCCTCAAGGAACGAGTCACGTCACCGCTAATGCTGAAAATCATTCCTATGGTGCACGTGGTGGTCGTTCTGGTCGCGGTGGTGGTCGTTTTGGTCGTGGAGGAGGTCGTTTTGGGAAATCACCGTGTCAGATTTGTCACAAACCTGGTCATGATGCTTCAGTATGCTACTATCGTTATGCCAATTCAAGTGGTGCTAGTTATCCACATCATCGAGCTCCCTTCAATCCTTTTCACGTGGCTCCTCGTGCTGTTTATCCTGTGCAGCTTGCTTATGCTTCTCCCAGAGCTGCGCCTCCCAGATCTTCTGCACCACAAGCCTTTTATGCAGGTACTGAAGCTAACAGTGCAAACCAGTGGTGGTATCCTGACTCAGGAGCTTCTCATCATGTTACTCCTGATGCCTCTAATGTGTCTGACTCTGCCTCCGTGCCTGGAACTGAACAAGTTTTCATAGGTAACGGCCAAGGTTTGTCCATCAACTCTGTAGGTTCTATGTCTTTTCCCTTACCTCACAAACCTCATCTATCTCTCACTCTTAACAATCTCTTACATGTCCCTCACATCACCAAAAACCTTATGAGTGTGAGCAAATTTGCTCAAGATAATTCTGTATTTTTTGAATTTCATCCTAAGTTTTGTGTTGTCAAATCTCAGGCTACTTCTGAAGTCTTACTCAGTGGTCTTGTTGGTGCTGATGGCCTCTATAAATTCTCCAATCCAGCTGCTCCTCCGTTGTCCAAATCTTCTTCCTCTTATAGTTCTAGTCATAGTTATCCTGCAGCATACAATTGTAATACTTCCTATAGGACGGATGTTATAGATTCTATATCTCAGTGTACTGAATCTGTTGCAAATCATACTATAAATCCTTTGTCTTCTTGTAATGAATCTTGCAATTATAATGTTACAAGTACCTTTTTCAATTCTTCTCTAAACTCTGTCAGTACTGTTTTACCTTCCTCACACTTTAATGCTGCAAATTCTATTGCATCCAATAAATATGTGCTTTGGCATACTAGGCTGGGACACCCCAATCATCATACCCTCACTGATATCTTCAAACTGTGTAATCAATCCTTTCCATCTAAACCCCCTGCTGAGTTATGTCACGCTTGCTGCATTGGCAAGTCTCATAGACTTCCTTCTTCTTTATCTACCACAGTTTACTCTCATCCCTTTGAGCTGGTTGTATGTGATCTTTGGGGTCCTGCCCCTATGCAATCTTCCAGTGGTTATACCTATTTCCTAACCTGTATTGATGCCTTCTCTAGGTTTGTTTGGGTTTTTCCTCTCAAACTTAAGTCTGACACCATGGTTCAATTTCTTCAGTTTAAGAAAATGGTTGAACTTCAGTTCAATTGTCCCATTAAATGTGTCCAAACTGATGGGGGAGGTGAGTTTAGGCCTCTTACCAAATATCTCACAGATTTAGGGATTGTTCACAGATTCACTTGTCCCCATACACATCACCAAAATGGCCTTGTTGAACGTAAGCACAGGCACATTGTTGAGACTGGTCTCACACTCCTTGCTCAGTCCACCCTTCCCTTAAAATTCTGGGATCATGCCTTTGTCACAGCTGCATATCTCATTAACAGACTTCCTACACCTATACTTGACAATGTCTCACCTTATTTTAAATTACTTCACAAAAACCCTGACTATACTATCCTTAAAGTCTTTGGCTGTGCATGTTATCCTTTTCTCCGTCCCTATAATTCTCATAAACTTGATTTTAGATCTCAACTGTGTATTTTCCTTGGATACTCTACCTCTCACAAAGGCTATAAATGCCTTGCTTCAGATGGTCGCATTTTTATTTCCAAGGATGTTGTTTTTAATGAAGCAAATTTTCCTTATTCCACCTTGGTTTCTTCTTCAAAATCTGTCTCTCTTCCTAACACTCCATCCTCTTCCTCTCCCTCTCTCAGTTTTCCTCCTGTTTCCTCTGCTCCCTCTACTTCTAATCTGTCTTCTATGCCTTCTTCTTCCTCAAATTCTGCTTTTCCTCAACTTAGCAGTCCCACTATTTCTAATTTTTCTCCAATCTCTTCTTCCTCTTCCTCTGCTGCTCCCTCTAACAACTCTTATTCTTCTGGTCAGCAACCTATCCCTCAACCTCTCACTGCCATTCCCATTACCTCTTCTCCTTCTTCCTCTCCTGCCCTCATTCTCTCTGATCCAGCTGAAGCTAGCACTCTTTCTCCCTCCTCTTCATATTCCTCTCGTTTAGTTGGTCCCTCCCCTGGCCCTAGTCCTATTTCCCACCCTGCTGCCACAGCTTTACCTTCCATTCACCCTCAAAACATCCACCCTATGCAAACTAGAGCCAAAAGAGGAATCACTCTTCCTAGACTTCACCCTACTCTATTAATAGCCCACCTTGAACCTACATCTGTTGAGCAAGCCTTGGCTGCTCCTAACTGGTTTCAGGCCATGAAGGAAGAACATCAGGCACTGCTGAGAAATCAGACCTGGACTTTGGTGAAAGCTCCTGCTGGAAGGAAGCCTATTGGATGTAAGTGGGTGTTCAGGACTAAGGAGAATCCTGATGGTTCCATAAACAGGTATAAAGCCAGATTAGTGGCTAAAGGGTTCCATCAAAAGGCTGGTGATGATTTTCAAGAGACTTTTTCTCCTGTCATTAAACCTGTTACTGTGAGAATTGTTCTTTCTATTGCTGTTACAAACAGGTGGCCATTGCAGCAGATTGATGTTAACAATGCCTTCCTCAATGGCACTCTTGAAGAAGAAGTCCTTATGCAACAGCCCCCTGGCTTTGAAGTTGCTGACAGAACTCTTGTTTGCAAGTTAAATAAGGCTATTTATGGTTTAAAACAGGCTCCTAGGGCCTGGTTTGATAAGCTAAAGTGTGCCTTGGTTCAACTCGGGTTTAAGGCTAGTAGATGTGATCCTAGCTTGTTTTTGTTGCATCAAGGTAAACTTCAGATTCTAATTCTGGTCTATGTTGATGATATAATCATCACGGGTAGTTCTGCTCCTTTTATAGCTTCCTTGATCAAGCATCTCAATAATTCTTTCTCTCTCAAACAGCTGGGACAACTTGATTATTTCCTAGGGATTCAAGTGACTCATCTCCCTAATGGTTCTCTTCTCTTATCTCAGACTAAGTACATCACAGATTTGCTTTCAAGGCTTAATATGTTGAATGCCAATGGCATGCCTACTCCCATGGTCTCTAGCAGCAAATTGTCCAAGGTTGGGTCTGCTGCGGTTGATGACCCTACTCAGTTTCGGTCTGTGGTTGGTGCCCTTCAATATGCTACCTTAACTAGGCCAGAGATCTCTTTTTCAGTCAACAAAGTCTGTCAGTTTTTGTCCAATCCTTTAGAGGATCATTGGAAGGCTGTTAAAAGAATCTTAAGGTACCTAAGTGGTACTCTGCACCATGGTCTTCTCCTTCAGCCTGCTCCTATTCAGCAACCAATGCAGTTGCTAGGGTTCTGTGATGCAGACTGGGCATCAGACCCTGATGACCGGAGATCTACTTCAGGGGCCTGCATATATCTTGGGCCTAATGTTGTTTCCTGGTGGTCCAAGAAGCAACAGCTTGTTGCAAGGTCCAGTGCTGAAGCGGAATATCGCAGTATGGCTCAGCTAGCTGCTGAACTCATTTGGATTCAGTCCTTGCTCAAGGAACTCCATTATTCCTCTCAAGTTCCTAAGATCTTGTGTGATAACTTGAGCACTGTTACTTTGGCTCACAATCCTATTCTTCACAACAGGACTAAGCATATGGAGCTTGATATTTTCTTTCTGCGAGAGAAAGTACTCAGCAAAAGTCTGACTGTTGTTCATGTACCAGCTCAAGATCAATGGGCTGACATTCTCACTAAGCCCCTCTCTGCTGCCAAGTTTGTTCCTCTTCGTTCCAAGTTGCGTGTGTATGATAAGGCTGCTTTGACAAGTCTGCCATCAGCTTCTAAGGGGGACTAATAGAGTAGTTTACTAATATGCCCTTCATTTTATCTTTCTATTCTGTTTTGCTGAGCTGTCAGGTTTGTTAGTGGTGTGCTGTTAGCTTGTTATGGCCTCACACCTTTTCTGCTTTGAATCACATGGCTATATAAAGAAGCCTCTTGTATTACTGTTTAAGATGAGACAATGAGAGTTTCTTTTAATTCTCTCTCTTTACCTATTTCTATCACAGTTGTGTGGTAGTGGGCCAGCTGTGTGGAGCCCAAGGAACAGTATCTTCCAAAGACTTCTAAAGTCTGTTAGAATCGATTACAGTTTGTTATAACTATATACTCTGGTGTAAGCAGATTCGTTTCATTATCACAATACATAGAAGATTTCAGATTTAAGCTCTAAGAATTCTCTCAGTTTCTATATTCGTAGTAATTATATGATCTATGCAAGACTCCAAAGAATTTTGGTTTAAAAGTTACCTGCTTAAGCCAAAATCCTTCAGATTCTTTGTCTCCCCAACAGAAAATAGAGTGAATGCCAACATTTTGAAGTCTCTTCTTCAGCTCTAGAAACAATAGATGACCAAAACCCTGCGGGATATTAACCAATAATCAACTAATAAACCTTATTTAATAGCGTAAATAATAAGTTGTTTATTGTGAGCACCTAAAAATATATACAAAAGGACAACAAATGTAGTACATGAGTAGGAGAATTTGGAAAGGCTTAACATTTCATAAAAGTAGCTGCAGCTCAAAATAATTAAATCTAAAGCAGAAGCTTTATATAAAATCTTCTCATAAACAAACCAAAAGAATGTTAATGTGATTAACTATTGCAAGTTTATTTCTTGAAACTGGCTTAAGATGTGACACTAATAAAAATAAACTTTAAACTGGAATAAAAAGGAATATTGAAAAATATATGCAGACCTTCCGTTGATAGATTGCATTGACAGCTGCAAGTGGGATCTCTGCATATTCTGTATCTGCAGGGATGATTTGATAACTAATCGCAGCTATAACCTGTAAAATGATGAAAGTGAGTCAAAATTTAAGATGTAACAAAGCATATTCTATCTTATTTCTCTAATTTCCACACCTATGCACTGTTGTATTGTCTAGATCAAATTATATGACAGCACGGAATTATAACTTTCTTTTATTTCTAAGCCAGATGGTCTCTTCTTAGATGAAAAATTAGAGCATCAGCAAAGATCAACTAATACTATTATTGAGACAATGTCAACCCACTTGTAGAACCATCAGTCAATCCACTAATGACTAAATACATGTTGTAATTTTATACACAGTCAAAAGGACATAAATATCTTGGGGCTAAAAATCTTAGATTTTCTGTTTAAGAAATAGGCATGAGCCCTGCTTAATTTGGAAATGCGCTGTGACTAAAAGCATTGTCTTTAGAACTAACTTATATGATAGTACAACATAAGTTACTTATGGCAGCACAGTAAATGACCAAAAGATCAAGTTATACAAATAAAAGACCAATACAAGAGGAGCCTTTCAATTTGTGACAGGAGTACAGTTATTAAACAAATACCTTTCCTGAATCTCTAGCCAAACTGGATTTTAGAACTAGTGTTCGATATTTCCTGCACGATTAAACAACAAATAAATGAAAGCTTCTTACAAATTTTAAGTAGCCACAAAAATACCGATACAAAATGAAATATGGTAAAACAATATTCACACAAAAAAATTTGTAAGTAAATAATATACTAAAATCACCGTAGTTAGTGAATTATCTGTTGCAGATTATTATCACACAAGAGAAGCAAAGACAGATAAAACTAAGTAAGTATCTAATACCCATTAGTCACACATCTCTCAAGAAACTTTGATTGTTTCCCGGTATTTGCAGCATAATTCATTCCAGGTAGCTCTGTCATAAACATCTGTAACACTTCCTGTAAACCCAACAATTTACACTCAACATTTACATAAGGATATATCTTTTTAGTACCTATAAAAATTTCTACATTTACACAAGCATAAATTTTTCCAAATCAAAGGGTTACCTGGAGGTAGGACTTGCTAATATCATCAACATCTTTCGGATTAAGCAGCACAAACTCGTGTTCTGCGAATATATTAACCAACGAGCAAGCATTATAATCACAATAGTGAACACTAAAATGAATAATACATCGAATAATCGCGTGAAAGCATATGGTTTTACCTGTTTTTTCGGACTCGGAAGTGTTTTTATGGTTCGCAGAAACATCTTGTCCCGCTACTTGGGAATCAAAGAAACATAGTAAAAACTGTTAATCGTAAATCGAATCAAATGAACTGAAAGAGAAGCGTTATTCATTGGAAAAACAAATACCAGAAACTTTTATATTTCCGCTTTGAGGAAGAGAGATTAAGAGGTCGTTGGAAGTTGAATTGCATGTGAAAGTGCTGGCTTCGACCGTAACCTCGCAGTTACCTGCAAAATTAGGAGATTAGAAATTGAGATGTGAATCGGGAAGCAAGTGATGAAGGGTTGTTAGGGTTTGAAGATTCACCGATGAAGATTGAGGAGTGGTTTCTTTTTGGCGCCATGTTTCTTTGTTTTGATGTGAAGTTTGGGTTTGCTTGTTCAACTTTATAGAAGCGGGAGGGTTTTTTTTGTATGTTATTTTTTATTAGCTTTTTTTTTTAGAAATAACTGTTATCCTATTAAAATTGAATACATATTTAAATGCTAAATGTTGAGTAAAATTCATCTAAATAGTTTTTAATTATATAATTTTTTTCTCTTTTCAATTATTTAATATATTAATTAATATTTAATATTAATTACTCCAGCTCATTGTTTCACTATTAATTTTATGTACTTCAACTATTCAATTAATAAAAAAATTAAATTTTTTTCTTACGTATAATATCTAATAATTTGTTTCGTGCATCACACGCAGTGAGAATACTAGTATTCAATCAAAAACAAATATTGATCATGGCGATCAAAAGATCCAACCTACAAAAAAACCAAACAAAAGTTAAGGAGTCATAAGCCACTAAGATATTTTTTATAATTGGGCTTCATCCAACATCTATTTATCGTAATATCAATAACTTTGTCCCCTATATTTTGATTGCTTATATTATTCCCAAAACACATATCATTGCGATAGTGCCAGATTTCATAAACTGCTTCTACAAAAGCGTATTTCAATATGGCTATTTTTGCACCTTTTCCTTTGCAACTATTGATCGCTCAGTTGAACCATGTAACATCTTTCTAACTCCACGTGTATTTCTCATATGATTTACAAATTAAATTGAATAAAACCACCACTCAAGGGTGTCACACTTCATAATTTTATTCGCAAATGTAGCATTCTCAACCCGATGTTACATATCAAAGTAAGACATTATTAATGCATTGAACTAAATATAACACTTTGAAGATATCCTCAAAGCTTCTATGAACTAATCTTGAACCTGCGTGTTACACACGTGGGGGCAACATTCAAACAAAAAGAGTGAGTAGTCATGATTTATTATAAAAGATATAAGAAAAAGATTAGTAGTATAGATGACATCATCATATCACAATACATAACATTCATCAATACTTCATAATCACCAATACATCATAATAGCACTTAGACATCTTTCATCATCACAAATCATCATATCCTCACGCAGTTCACAAATATCATCACATTAAAACGCATCAACAAAATCATGCAATGTCACATAGGATATTAATGCACAATTCTGACTCAATGCATGTGGTACCAATATTTTAATAACACCTAACTCATCACCCTCCAAATATCCCTGTCATAGGATTGATTCCTGAAGGGTGAGAAAACACTTAGAAGGGGGGGTTGAATAAGTTTTTTCTTTTTCTTACTAGCTCAATAATAATGGAAAGACACAGTTATTTTTATCCTGATTCGTTTGAACTCAAACTACTACAGTCCACCCGCCAAGGTGATTTCGCCTTTCTCAACAAGGACTTAATTCACTATAATCAAACAGATTACAATCACACAACCAAACTGTTGTGACTAATAATTCAAAGCACAAGTAAACTTACAAGTGACTAACACCACTAAGACTCAAACTAGTCCTAGCCTTCTTGAGAAATCTGACCAAACTTGGTCTCTTAAGGAACAAATACAAGAATTAAATCTTTACAATAGTGAAACAAATTGCTTCTTAGAAAGCTATATCATAAACTGTGATTTATCACTAAGATAAGTTTAGCACTTGAGAAAATAACAAAGTGTTTGTGAGCAGCAGAATATTTTTCACGTTAGTTGAGTAGTTGGCTTGCAATAAATGATCTTCTATTTATAGCATGAAGAAAACGACTGTTACTGCCTTCAAAAGTGAGGAGCAATTAACGTTTGCGTGTTTGCTTGCAATATTTCTTTTTCCAATGAACTAACGTATAGACACTTGAGTGCTTTTAGCCGTCTTTGCATTAAATGAACAAACGGCACTTGTCAGAGCATGTTTCCTGAAACTTGACAAGACTTGTTAGCTTCTTTATTCTTTCAGAACTAGCTTCGCATCTTGCTTCAGAATTTGCTTGCAAATAACTTCTTATCAGAATGTGCTTGCAAAATACTTCTAAATAGAGTTTGCATGGAAACTTGCTAAGATTAGAGGATGCATTAAAATGCTTCTTATCAGAGCCAGCGTCAGAATTTGCGCTAAATAAATAGTTCTTTCATCAAAGAACTTCTTCATTTATTTTCAGCTCAGCACGTAAAAATGATTTTCATCTAAGAAAATACTTCAGTCAGAACATTATCTGAAACAAAGAAATATGCTCATCAGAGTATCAATTATATAAAATATATTTTATTGTTATCATCAAAACTCTGAGATATGATCAGAACCAATCTTGTTCTAACAATCTCCCCCTTTTTGATGATGACAAAAATATTCAGGTTTTGAAAAAGAATTGAATAAGAGATAAGAATGTCCCCCTGAAATAAATATTTCTATAAGAAAAACTTCCTGAGAATTTTCATCAGAGCTTTGAGATTTTTCTTTTAGGATTTCTTCAGCAAGTCTTTTGAAGATAATGTTCAGATGATTAAACTTCCAGAGTTTAGTGATACCTGCAAAATTATTTAAACAGAGAAAGAAATCTTTGTATTTTGTTAGTAATGTTTGAGACTTAGTCCCATAACTGTTAATCGAAGATTAGATCAAAATACTCATTTTCTCCCCCTTTTTGGCATAATCAAAAAGTATAAAAAGAATTAAGAGCGTAAAAAGGTTTATAAAAAGATTCAGAGGTACAAAATAAAACAAAAAACAAGAAACAAAATGACACTTAAGATTTTCTAGAAACAAGATCCATAAGAAGATTCTTGATTTCAGATGAAGATTTTTCTTACTTCATCATCCAGTTTCTGATTTCCTTGTTTGTCTCATCCTGCTTGTCCAAGCGCTCATGAATAGCTTCATTTTACTTCTTAAGCTCATTCAGAGTATCCATAAACAGTGAAGTAGAAGCAGAGGATGAAGTAGCTTCAGCAGATATAACCTTTGGTGTAGAAACAACTGAGTCAAAACGAACAAAATTTAAAAGTATAGTGCCCAAATCAACCATAAGAGTTGGCACAGGTTCTGGTGCAGCTTTAGCAGAAGGTTGATTAAACAAAATTATTTCCAAGGGATTTGAATCTTCAGAGGCATCTTCAGACTCATCTTCTGAAATGTCCATTTGATCAGCAGGAGCGTTAGCAATCAGCAGAGTAGACTTCTTGTCCCAAATCTCAGCAGCTTCTAACTAGAAGGCATGCAGATGTTTGGAGAAATTCTCAAGCACCTGAGAATGACATAAGTCTTGCAATTTTAGTGAATCAACATCTAATATTCTTCTGAACGTTTCCCACAAAAGATCTATTGCTGTTGGGTTCACATTGTTGGTGCAGTCTGCCTTCAGCAGGTCTATCCAAGCTTGTACTTCTGTTAAAAAATTCTGAAAACATACATTTACATCTGGCTGGATAGGTTTGGGAACAGCCTTTTTGTAGGTTTTGTTTTTTAGAAATTGTAGGGATTCAAAATCAACTACAGTTTTCAGAAAGTCAGTTGGTTCAGGAGTTTCTAATTGATTAGGTGTTGTTGATTGGTCAGGATTTTCAGATGGTTTAGGTGTTTGCTGATGGTTCAAGAGTTTCAGATGGTTCACGTGTTGCTGATGGTTCATGAGATGGATTGAGGGTGTGTTCTGGAGATTGAGGAGGTGAAAGCATTAGTGAGTTAGGTGTTGGAAGTTCTGGAGATGTGGGTGGTGTGACGTCAGGAGAAATGATGATGGTGTTTTCAGCAGTGGAGGTAGGATTTTGTGGTTGAGTTCTGTTCATAGCAAAGATATTCTCAAAGGGTAGGGTGAAAGGTGGCTTTTGTGTGGCCAGAGGTACGTTTATTCTAGGTATTCTCCAAGAGCCAACATCATACCATCCAGTAGGTCTTGGTGATAAAGGTCTGGGAAGTGGTTTAGAAAAGTTTTCAGCATGATTATTTTGTGAGATATGTGTTTGAGATGGTTGTGTTTGGGTTTCAGGAGAGTCATCAGAGTCAAAATCACTTAAGTCTGATAAAACTTGATCTATTTGAGGGTTTTTAGAAAGAGGTTCAGAGGGAATGGTTAAATCTATGTCGACATCTATGTCACCTAATGTTTGAGGTTCAGCAGATGTAGATATATGTACAGAATCATAAACAGAAATAGTTTTAGAAGGTGTACCTGATTTCTTCTTCTTCTTCTGGGGTCTAGCAAAGGGTCCTTCAACTGCTTTCCTTTTCATTGGCTGCTGAAAGACAACATCTGGAGCTGCTTCATGTCTATCTTGAAGCCATGCAGGATCAATTGGAGTTCCACTTTATTTGAAAATTTGAATGTAATGCAGAATGATACGAGGGTGATCTCCTGAGTTGAAAAGTGGAAAGTCAGCAATTGGAATTCTTCTTCTAGTAACGGTTGCTGATACGTAAGGGGTTGGTTCTATCAGCAGTTTATCAATGATCTTTCTCTTCACCATATTCTTTCCTGTCAGAGTTTTCCCACACGTAGGCTTTAACTCCCCCAGCAGTTTTGCTTAGTCCAAATGTGCAATCAGACCATTCTTTGTCAGAATGTCTGAAATCAATCTTCCCATTGGAATCCAGTTCCTCTTGGATTTAGGGTTCTTCACTCTTTATGCTTCCCTTGTTTCCTTGACATGTGTCCAGAGGTGGTCAAACAGAAGGTAGGGTAAATCAATCTTAACATTTGTTCCCAGACAGAACAGAAGGTATTGCTGGTGGTATTTATATAGTCAGGAGAACTTGTTTCCTTTCTATGATGAATGCAGCCATGGATGATTATATCCCAGATCTTGTACTGATTCTTCAAGTCTCTGAATTTTGATGAAGCTTGCCCAGTTGTAAAAATTTCAGAATGAACTCTTGACATGTCCATTTTGCCATTTGAGATTCCAGTGACTCCATTTCCTTCAAAACCCAGTAACTTCCTGATGAGATTTTCAGTTATTGAGATTTTCTTACCCATTACAAACGAGAGAATAACCTTTGGTGATGCAATG